AAATTTCAGTTTAAGATTTTGAAGCTGTTTTTTTTGTTTTACTCTCTTCCAAATTTTAGTCGATCTTTTTAATATCCAAAATTATAATCGAAATATATCTGAAAAATTAATCACTTTTATTATTAGTCTGAAACAATGATTTACGCCGTTTAAAACTTTAAATGAAACACTTACTTTACCAGTAATGACCATATCTGTATGGTGCACCCAAATAACCGTGATTGTACACTCGGCCAGTCAATGAACTAGAGTATTGACCAGTTGTGTAATCGTAGTAGTTGCCAAGATAATCCTTTGCACCACCCAAATAGGGAATGGCGCTTACAGAAGCCACCAAGGCGACAACAAGCAATACAAACTGCAAAGATAAAATTTATTGTAATATATTATATTGAACTTTTGTAATATTTCACTCATTAAAGTACAATTAATTATCATCTGATTTTTATAAAATGTATTTGTATACTTATGCATATCTGAACACAAATTCTTTAGCTTATAATAACATGAATCAATTAAGGTATTTAATTAATTATGAGTTAATACAATTAAATTTGAAAAATAATATTTGTATGCAGATTTTGGTAATGAGATATATAAACAGCTTATTATATTGATAGTATATACATATTTAATACATATTTTTATATATGTGTGTTAAATATATGTAGGCTGCATATATACAGATGACCGTATGGCCGAGGCTGTTAAGAAGTAAGACTACCGTTCTGGAGGGTCCGGGATCGAATCCCAGAAGTTTTTCGTAGAGTCATCTGTTCCGAATATGTCGGACCCAACCCTCATCACACAGCCGCCCCATTGTGACGGAACTCATAATGGGCATTACAATTTTTTGACTTTTTCTGTCCTGTGGGCAGAGTCAAAAAATTGTATACTATAAAAATATGCATTAAATGCGTTAAAAACACTGTAATATATACTAAATAACCAAATGCAATATTTTTTGACAAGTTTTATATTCTATTTGTATAAATATTGTATTTAAATTAAAAGATTGTTAAGATTTATAAAACATTAATTTCTATTAATAAGAATTGACTATAGTTTAATACTCACGAGTTTGTTCATGCTGACTTTATAACTAGATAGTCAAAACTACTAAGTGAATTGATTTTTTCCTCTTTATATAGTTACAGGTGTCACGGTCATAGATGAGCATTTATAATTGTGGTCACTCGTAACTGTTTCTACCTTTCTCCAAAATGAAGGACTGGGTGTGTCTTTTCAATGATTATTCATCTTGGGAAAACAGTTCAAGGATTTTAATGATGCAATATTAAATTGAAGATCATTTTAATTTCAGAAGTACTTTCTACAGTTTTTAAAGTATTCTTAACTTTCTTTGATGATAAAATTCTGAATTTATTACATAGAAATCGTTTTCTTTGTGAAATATTGTTATAAGCCGGAAACTTTTTAACGTGGAAACAGGAGATATTTTTAGTTATTGGAATTTTTCGGTGTAACAGCAGTTAATTTCAAATCACAATTAAAACACATTCCAAGAGTATTGAATTTTTACATAAATATTTTTTCTATACGTCACATAAACGTTTCAGTATTTTCGACACGCTAACGAAACATAAAAGGCTTAAATTGAAGAAGAACCAATTCGAAATATAAATTGTGATAGACAGTTTTTAAATTTTCTTCTTTTCATAAATTAATTTAATAAATACATAAACGGAAACCTGTCGAGACGGGTACCATCGCGTTTCGTTTCAGGCGGGTTTTACTGCATTACTATTGTAAGAACAAAATAAATTTTATTAAATAGCCATGTAATTAAAATAAAATAAATATATGAAAACATGAATTCATTAAATTAGTTATTTATATATCGTATAAATTATAAAATGAAAACACGTTAGTACAGAAATATGGAGATTAATATTATGAATAAAATAGAACGATTACTCAATTTCTTAATTTATTGGGCTAATTTAGTTATGTATTTTTAAGTAATTACAAAATATTTAAAATTATTTATTAATACTAACTGATAGTCTAACTCTTTTATTGTGAATTGATATTTGTATTGATAATAATAATGTTAAATGGCGGGATGATAATGGTAGTAAAGGAGTCATCCTGGCGGCTCTTTGGGAGAAGATTCGTTATCAAATCCAAGCAATGAACCCCACAAAATTCTTGTGGGTATCTGTCCTTAATACATTGAGCCATAGTGGGTCTGATTAATTTACCCATGACGAATCTACATAAAAGGCTCCCTCAAAAGTTAGTGTCGTTTAAAAGTAAATTAAAAGGCTTTTATATTATATACAGTTTATATATTAAATGATTTTAAATACTTGTATAACTCGACATGCTTTTCAGTAAAATAACCTTAATCAATAATTTCAGGAAATTATTGACGACGGAAAATTATTTCACTGAAAGATATTTTAACGTCTAGATGTCGAAAATATAAATTTTAGTTATTAGAAATATCTTCCTCGTGTCTTTTCCAAATAATGTACAGAAGAAGCTTACGAAACGACTGTATTTGAAAAAAAAAAAGATTTAAAACTGTGTTACGTTAATAATTAATAAAAACTGTACAAGATATTTCGAACATTCTATAAATCATCTGTATGTATTTTTCCTTAAAATCTCAAATTTTTCTGATTAGCTCATTTAAACTGGATTAATGAATATTTTCATTTTAAAATATTTGATAATTTAGATTTTTAATTAGGTGTCATAGACAGAGTTTTTAAACAAAGATTTTTCAACTTAAATTTATGAGTTAGACCAGTGTTTTTCAACCTTCTTTAATACGCGACCCCTTTACAAGTTAAAATATTTTTGCGACCCCATAGGGCCATATTTAAACTATATCAGTAGTTTTAAAAACTACGTATTTAATTTTCTTACTTTAAATATCGATCGAAAAATCAATTGTACTGTAAAATAAACAGGCACAGCCTTCTCACTGAAATTCTAGTTTTTTTTTTATTGTAGTGTAGGACCTACAAAGACTTGTCTTTTTCTTTCACCCGCGATCCCCCGTGTAAGGCTTTGCGACTCCCCCTGGGGGGTCGCGACCCACAGGTTTAAAAAAAAAACTGAGTTAGACTAAAGCAAAATAAAAATTAAGAAAAAAATACTTTTAACATTTTTGCAAAGGACAAAAATATAATCAGTCCTAAACATTAAATTTAGAAAACAGTTAAATTTTATTTTATTACTTAATATTTTGATATCTTATACTTATTATTTTACTGATGGTTAAAGGTCAGAGAGGTCATATGTCATATCTCAAGTAGGATCTGATTTAATGATTTTACTCATTAGCATATACATTTATATATATATAACTTGTCTCTACCCTAAAATTAAGCTTTTTCTCATTTTATAATAATTAATAATATAAAAAGTGTTTTTAATATAATCTCATAACAGATGGCGCCACACACAATTTAAATTTTTTTGCCGAGAAAGTTACTCAACTCTTTGTTGGATTTTTTTTCGTTACTGAGATAAAAAATACATTTAAATTAATTTCTTACATTATATTAATTTATCTTGATATTAATTATTATTTCAAGTCATTTTGTAATTTAGTTTTATTAAATTTTTATCTTAATTTATGAATGAGATATATTGAGTTTAATTTTGCAACCTTTAAATTCATTTTTCAAATGTTATATCGCATTGCCAATGGGATGTAAAAATTTTGTAATAATTATTTTAATCAAATTTATTTAATCCCCTACTAATAGACTTTTAACTAAATTTTTAAAAATATTTATTCAGAAATTTTTATAATTAGTACTTTTAAAAACATTATCATTACAAGTTTTATTGATGTTTTAGTTCAGTTGAAAGAAAGAAAAATTGATTAAAAAGATAATATTTAAATAAATATGAAATTATAATTATATTGTTAATTTTAATATTTTAAAAGCACTGTTTACAATTAGTTATAATTTTAAATTTTATATGATTAATATAAAACACAGAAATTATTTTCTATAAAATTATTTAAAATGAACAGAAAATAATTAATTGGAAATTCTTAAAGTATAGAATCTCGCTTTTAAGTTTAAGAATATATTAACCTTGAATATTTTGAACCACGCCTAACTTATTTTATTATAATTTTTTTTTACANACGTTTTGATATTATTATACTATTATTACATTATATTATGATATTGTTGTATAAAATAGGCACTTGCAAAATATTTCACTTTTTGTTTTGCAATAGCAGGTTTAGCAAGTCTTTTCTGATTATAGTATTGTTCTTTAAAATGGTAGTTATAATTATAATTATAATAAATATTTATCATCATAAATTCTTTATATGCGCTTTGTAAGAAAATACTATCCCTCAATACAAAACAACTCTAAAATGAAGGCAGCATTACAAGGGATCTACAATTAAAACGTACCCGATAGAGTACGGCCGAGAGGGCAAAGGATCACGGGAAAGCGTCGCTTTCGCCGCCGAGAACGTGCAAACTGACAAGTTCTCAGGTAGTAAAGGATAGACAACAACGTTAGTTGTCAAAATTTGTACGATGAAATCGAAAAAAGATTTTTGTAAAAGTCCGCGTTTTCACATAATTAAGCTTTTTTTTTTTTTTTTTTTTTTTTACCTCCCGGCTCTGTTACATACAGAGAAAAAGTATGGCGATCGGTCAAAAAATGATCCTCCCACAATTTTTACATTTTTACAGGTCTCCAGAGCTTAGGCTGCCACCTTGACCGCGCGGCCATCCGGCCGCTAAAATATTTTAAGTAGGGTCAGAGTTGGTAGAGTAAAATAAAGATAAATCAGATTTTCTGTAATAAATGTTGATATTTTTTCGAATTAGGATAATGAATACATATTTTAGAAATATTTTTATTTGTTTATGTTTTATAAATCATATATCATAAAATATTTTTGAAATTTCAAGTTTTTATAACTTAGAATTAAAAAAAGTTTTGGCTAGTTTTTCGTTTTTTTTCTTTCTAACATTTAACGCCATTTGGCATAATGTTCACGTGATTTCATAGTAAACTGAAAGCATGCTTGTTCGAAACCGACAAAAATATCTTGTCAAATGTTGATACGTGCTGTACAAAATGGCAGTTAGTTTAAGTGAATCAGAGAAAACTTATATTATTCAGAATATTCAGGTGAATATATTTATTTTTCGTATTTCTAAGAACATAATACAAACATATGGTAATTTATTATTAATCTGTAAGACATGATTTTCTTCAGGATGATCTTAGGAGTGATGGACGTAGTTGTTTAGATTACCGATTTATTGAAATTGAAACTGATGTTATATCCAGTTGTAATGGATCGTCACACGTTCGTTTAGTAGGTTTGATGCCTTATATTTTTCAATAACAACTTTTAATTTAATAATTGTAAAATTTTAGTTAATTGTTTACTGTTCAGACATACAGTACTTAATATAAAAATACAGTATTTCATGTATAATATTTGTTTTATAATTAGGCAAATAGTGATATTTTAGTTGGTGTGAAAGTAGAATTAGATGAGCCTGATCCAGCAAAACCAAATGAAGGAAGAATAAAAATTTTTGTAGATTGGTAATATGATTATTTATTTATTATTTGTTATTATGTGATTCATTTATAAGTTAAATAAAGTGTGAAATTGGGGGCTGTGGGACTCTGCTCTTTATAATTGGGATGGTTAAGATTTTTATGTTAAGAAGAGTGAGAGATGGCAAAATTCCATCTACATCAGGAGCCTGACACCGGTTAGGATTATCATACATGTCTTAACTTGCATTTAAAATGAATTATATCTAATTAGTCTGATTTTTATCCGAGTGGCAAATGAAAATCTAGAAGGGAGTCTTGGGTTGACAATGGAGCTGGAGCTAGACACTTAGGCATAGTACGATAATAATAAAACTATTTATTTAAATTATAAACTATATATATGGTATAATACATGAATAACAATAATAAGAATAAAATAAACAAAGTTTCCATTTGACAATCTAATATTCAATTCCTTTAAATCTATCTTCCAGTATTATTGTCAAATGCAATACTTCATTTCTTTATTTTCTTCTGAGTCGTTGATGAGGCTGACTGCATTTTCTTGCATTTGGTGGGAAACTCCTTTTCGTTCAGACACAACTTTCTAGAGAGTTGTTTCCAAGTCCAGCTCTCTGGACATTGGTGTGAACAGTATTTATTGGATATTTGTCTGAACAATCATCTGGGGCTATTCAAGTCACCTGAGGAGAGAAGCAACAAGAAACTTTTTTGTGAAGTTGATATAAAAAAAATAATCATCATCTCTCCTCAGGAACTTCCTTTAAAATTGAAAGAAAGTTTGACTAACACAAATGTTTCCTCTTTGACAAATTTTAAAATTTTCTATAATAAAGAATAATGCTTCTAGCCCACAAGTTTAATTTAGATTGAATTAGTTATCCTAATAAATAGGGTTGTAATAAATTTGAGGGCTTATCACATCAGGGTTGACTGGAATAAATAGACTAGATTTTACAAAAAATTAGCTTTTAATAACTCCAATCAAATTTTGGTAAGAATGCATTTCGGATACATCAGCTTACGTATATATGGTACAACACCAGCATACATTAATACAATCATAACACAAGCAGTAAACCAAGACAAGGATTTTTCTGATATATACAGTGCACTGTTTACAAAATATAGTTAATTCATCACAATATGCTAAAAAACTAAAAAATTACCGAGCATATAAATTTTTTATTGACGATTTATATTTTATTTTTTCTCCAGAACTGGTAAATTTCTCTTTCTTTCTTTTTCCAAATTCCTGGAAAAAAGATAAAATATAACTCGTCTATAAAAAATTTATATGCTTGGTAATTTTTTAGTTTTTTAGCATATTGTGATGAATTAACTATATTTTGTAAACAGTGCACTGTATATATCAGAAAAGTCCTTTTCTTTGTTTACTGCTTGTGTTATGATTGTATTAATGTATGCTGGTGTTGTACTGTATGTATTTAAGCTGATGTACCCGAAATGCATTCTTACCAAAATTTGGAGTTCTTAAAGGCTAATTTTTTGTAAAATTTAATCTATTTATTCCAGTCAACTCTGATGTGATAAGCCCCCCAATTTATTACAATCCTATTTATTAGGATAACTTATTCAATTTAAATTTCTATTTAACCTAAAATATTGGTCCCTAGGTTCTCACAAAAGTATATCTCACAAGGAGAATGTTGCTACATGAAAGTTATGTAATACTTAGTACTAACATATATTTGGTAGTTAATTTTATCGATCTTAGAGGACATTTCTCTGTGGCCAATATTTATATTTTTTCATATGAAAGTAACACAGACTATTTGATGAGCAGAGGGAAGGTGTAATTCTGATTAAGATGAAATACGTTTTGATTCTGATGAAACCAACTGAATAAAGTGGCGAATAATCTGCCAAGTGTTGAATAATGTCACTTTAGTGTGTCTGTAAAGAAGCATGAAACACGTTGATATCCTTGAGCCATGTGATTACTAGCAAGCACTACTTTTTTATTAAAATGATGTCACAAAAGAAAAGCAAGAAAAAATTAAGAATAAAATGTAAAAAAGAGTGGAAAAACACTCTTAACATTAGTATCAATAAATTGTTTGCAAATGTATTTGACTGTAGAAGATAATTATAATAAACAATCCTTTAATCAATGTTTTTCATTTAAACACGAACAAAAACAGATGAAAATGTTAGTAAAAGTGTTAATTTGAGGTATGCTGGTTTAGGTGTTTCGTCTTTGTTTAAATAATATATCCTAGAATTGGAAAGCAATGTTTTTCTTAAATAGAATCTATATATGAAACTCACAGTAGGTTCACTATTAAAAATAGCTTCCATTAATTTAAAAATAGAAGTAAAAACGAATAGTCTAAGTAGGAAAAGACACAAATACGAGTAAAGAATCACATGTAAATAAAGAGGTTACAATTAAAATGTGTTGCATGTTGTTATTTAAAAAAATTAAATTGTACTGTTTTAAAGTACATTAAACATTTCTATATTTTAAATAATGATAATAATACAATTATTTTCTTTTTCAATTAAAATACACACACACAAATGCTTGTGTGTATTTAAATAGATTTGAGTAACAAAAATTGAAATGACATTCAAATCATGCATGATAAATGCAAATACATTGCCTGCAATGAGCACACTTAATAAAGTGCGAGTTTTTAATAATGTGTTTATTGTGTTTAGAATAAAATTTTTTGTTGTGTTTAGAATAAAAAACACATTTCATCTTACTGTAATGACATCACTGATAATCAGCTTCACTCCATTCATCAAATGATTGTCACTGATAATTACCCTCTCTCTCCATTTGTCAAGTAGTCTGTGTTTTACTTTTTTATGAAAAAATAGAAATATCCTCTTAAGTAAGTAGCATATGTTTAACTATCAAATAAATGTTANTGCTACTAAGTATTTTGTTTAATAAAAAATAAATGCAGCTAATGATGTTAAATTTTCTGATTACATTTAACTTCTGATTTAAGTTCATCAATTTGTATGTGATATAATAGAATTTCTCTCTAAATACAGTAAAAACCTGATTTATGTGGTCACCTTCGGGGTATACAATTTTTAGCCACATAAGTGAGGTGGCCAGCTAGATGCGATTACGAAAAAAATTGGCATACAAAGCTATAGTTAGAGTACCATACTGAAACCTGCTAAAAGTTTAATATAGATTATAAATATAAACAAAAAATAAAAAATTCACATAATACTATATCCTTGCAATATACAGTAATTCAAACTTCCATACAATGTACAGTATATAGATAGGTGTAATATTGAAATACAGTGTACTGTACTATACATGCAAATGAATGCGAGATGTTTGCAGTAGGGTTCATTTAAGTACTGTAAAGTACTAAACAAAATTATTTAGTTTCCATAGACGGAATCAATATGTTTATAGAAAAAGTGTTAATGATTTAACTGGCTTTCACCTCAGGTTCGTTGATATTTTACTTTGTTGAGTGTTGCAAGTGACATATCAATGACAGACTGATCATCTCTAATTTATAGTTATATTTTTACAAAATACAATTAGATTTTGTATAAAATTATTGCTTTCTTGTTTTCTTATTACTGGATTTTGGAAATAAGTTTTAATTTGGCGAGTGTAAACGAAGATTATTTTATTTAAATGTCATTTGTTGGAGGAGACTGGGCAAATTGTTCCAAAACTACATCAACAAAGCTCAATTCCATTTAAAATACTTTAAACAATGCGTTTAGTTTTCCTATTCTGTTGGCCACGTAAACGGGAATCATATCACTTTAGGACACTTATCTTGCCCATTTAAGTGAAGTGGCCACAAAGCGAGGTTTTCCTGTATCATTTTTTTTCTTCTAATAATCTAAAAATGTAATGTTATGGAAAATATTGTACGTTGGTGTTATTTTTCGAAAATTTGGCGTTCTTGCCAGAACATTTAACATAAATATCTTTCTGAAAGTATAAAACCTTAGTTTTAATCAATATTAAGTCATTGAACTCGTTTCTACATTCCTCCCTTCACTCCTAACTTCTTTATGAAATTAAGTTCCAAAGATTTAATATTTATAATTCGTCTACATTTTTCATTTATATTAAAAAATACGATTCATTTTAAAATAAATGACAGAACTAAGTTAAGATTTTACAAACCATTCGATGAATTAAAAATTACCAATGTTATGCGTAATGGTGAGCTAAACTAAGATATTATTTTTGGCCAGTTTCCATTAAACACGGGACATCTGTTTAACGGGAACTGGCCAACGCATAATGAAGACAGGTTGCAAGTAACACACTTGTAATTCCAACATTGTATTTAAACTTGGCATATTAATATAAAATTAAAATTTTTAACCTAATTAACGCAACATTAGCGTCAAGGACTATATTTCGCGAATTAAATTGAAATAAAATAATTTAGTTCTTACATTTAAATATAAATTATTTTAAAATTGTGGCTGATATGTATGTATATCATTCAAGTAAGAAATTTTTTGTCTTAATTATTTTTATTTTGTTTCAATAGGAATAGATCCATTTTTAATAATATCATTCTTAATGAATCAGATAGACTTTTTAAATGACGTATTTCTGGAAAAGACGTAATCTTATTTATAATTTTCCACTTTTAAAACTCTTTAAAGAAGCATAAAATCAAGATTTTCTATTGAGTCAGCTTTGCTATTGATTCGTTAGTACTTACAGGAGAGAGACCATTGCAAGAGATTTTTTTCTAGTTATTTCCTTTATTTCTTTGCTTTTAATGACTTGATTTTTTAAAATTTATTTTAGATGTACGAACAGAACGGCCAAATTCATAATTAAGAGATGCTAAGAATATACTTTTAATTTATGGATTTATCTTGGATTAAAATGAAAATGACCTACAATGTCTTAAATATTTTTCTTTTCAAGAACAGACTTTGGGTTTTGTATTCACTTTCTGAAAATATTAAACTCAAGAACAAAATATTTTTAAGTTTATGTTAATTAAAAGTACACTTTTTATTGACTTGTTACTATA